AAGGGAATCCCCACCCAGTAGGGAGCTCACTGCTACCTGCCCCACTAGCAAATCAGGACAGGGAGCTGGGACCTGCCCCTCCCCTCCAGCTTTTTCCAAGTCCCCTGCCCCCGTTAGGGAGCAGGGGTCAGATGATTCCTGTCGCCAGGGCAGGAGGCCATTGTCCCTACCCAGACTCTGGTGGCAGAGCCCACCCTGGCAGCAGGCAGCCCCCCAGGGACAGGGAGCAATGTCTGAGCTTGTGCTCCCTGCCATCCCTTGGACTAGCACCCTCCCCCTGACTTCTGCAGGGGACCACTACAGGGCCACCAGGAGCAGTAACAGATTGCTGCCATTAGGGGTGTGTGAAATGGGCCATATTCGATTTAAATTCGGATTCGGCCCGAATCAGGGACAGTGATTTGATTCGTTGATTCAGATCACTGTCCCCGATTTGCTTTGGCCACATCAGAATCTGAAGATTTGATGCTGATTTGGAGAATCAGCGATTCGGCCATAGACACAGCTTTAAATGTTTTTTCTACATACCTCGAAGTACCGGGTGTGGCTTGTGAATGCTGCAATGCTGGGGATGGAGTGTCCCACAGCAACGCGGGGGGCCCCCCACGTACTCCGTGGCAAACCCAGAAGTGGACCAGAAGTATTTCCGGTCAACTTCCGGGTCTACCAGGGCCCTCCCCCCATGCCCCTGCTCCCCCAGCTTGGAGATTGGCCATGGGGGGACCCCGGGTGCCCCCCCAGACCCAGGAGAAAGCAGTCGCCGAGCCAGGGAGGTGTGGGCCCCCCCCGCATGTTCCCCGGAGGACCTGGAAGTGGACCAGAAGTGCTTCTGTGTCTGCTGCCAAGCACTCCTGTGGGACGCTCCATCTGCCCCACCATCACAGTGCTGATGAGCCGCCTGGTAGCTAGAGGTACGTAGAAAAAACATTTAAATCTGTGTCTATGTCTGAATCTCTGAATCTTTCTAAATCTCTCCAAATTGATGTGAAGAGATTAAAGGTTCTTCTGATTTGATTCGAATTTGGAGATTCAGCCACTGAATTGGGTCGAATCTCCACCAAATCAAATCAGGGACCAAAACTTTGCACAGCCCTAGCTGCCATGATCTGCAAATCTGCTGCTGAGACCTCGCACACGTAGACACCTGCCTGGGTCAGTTTAATCTAAAACTGATCCCACATTATTTGTATGTGTAGATGCGCCCAATATCATCCAGTCTTCTCTGTGTAACATCCCAAGCCTCCTGTATACCAAGGTCATCTCTTTCCTTTGAGTTTCATCAACATACTATTACTTTTTGTGCCAATCAACTTCACCAGCGAAATTAGCAAATCAGGTCAGGCCTGACACTGATCCTTGAGCAACTAGTAACCTTTCTCCAGCCTTAGACTTCTCTTTTGTAACAACACCTGTATCATCTTCCCTTTCACCAGTTCTTTACCCATTTCACAGTTCTGCTATTTTCCATCTTCTCCATCTTTTCACTAATAATTTTCCATGTGGCAATCCAGCTAATGGGAATTAGAGAGCTTTAAGTGCTGTATGTTCCCATTTCAAGAAAAGCATCCCTGAAGTCAGTGGAGTTACACTAGATATTAATGTGGCCTGACAGTGTTACATTCAATATTCTACAATAAAGGGGAATCTATGGTCCACAGGTCCATGGCTCTTTCCAGAGCCACAACACAATGGATGACACTAAAGGGAAAAATTGTAGGATAGTTCATATTTGTCTCCATTTCCACTTCAGCTACTGATCCACTCAGATCATATTCCCTGCATTCTCAGAAATTCCACTGAGGACCCTAGCCATTTTGCCCAAACACTGATAGTGGGATTGGGTCTTTTGTACATAAAATCTCCATGCTGGGTTCTGGTCTCAGGTGCAAATATGAGTTTATGGGAAGACCACTGCTTCAGAGAGGAACCAAAGCCTCAGGAAATGCAGACTGAGCACAGCAACAGATTAAAGCTAGGGAGAACAGTAATGGGAAAGAGTCCCGAGAAACAGAATGGGCAATTATTTCATATTAAAAAAAAAGACCAGTGCCCGTGGAAACACTATATTCCCCATAAGAGGCTGGATTCTGCCCTCAGACAAACCCATAATTGGGATTTCAGTAATGAATGCAGATGAGTTCAAAGCACAATGTAGCCTCAAATGTGAGTAGTACAACCTACCCCTATGCCACAGGTGCAGTATAGCAACAGGGCTCCTTAGTGAAAGCCCAGCAGATGGTGAGACTGATTCAGCTTTCACCAGGATAAATCTGTGGTAGCTTCATTGACATCAGTGGAGTTATTCCAAAACTACACTAGTGTACACAAGAGCCGTATCTCTGTTTACTGAAAATGGATCCCATCATGCTAATTGAAAAACAACAGATGTCTCAACTAACAGTAAGAGGAGACAGGAATGTTCCAGTTTTCTTCTAAATACCATTTTTATTTCTCTCCTAAGTGTATAAGAGAATTTGCCACGTTTTGCTCTACAGGACAGATTCTCAGGTTCTTGGGTTGCTCAGGGCAAACCAGTACAGCCCTACAGAAGTCAAGGAAACTACACTTATTCACAGCAGTTTATGAGCTAGACTCTAAGGCGCTAGCCCAAAAACATTTGGTTGGATTCTCCTCTCACTTAAATCTAAAGTTACCTGCAGACAGTGGAGCAATGTCTGTATAAAAGTGGGAAGGCATCAGAATCATTTTTCTTAAGCATTTGTAGGTCATAATAATTAAATTCTTCTGCTATTCACAGACTTTTAGCTAGCAAGCTCTGAAGCAGCTTAAAAAGGTAGGTGAGCACCAGTGTTATAGCAAGGAAGTTTGGCATCTGGGGCAAAACCTGCAGCAGCAGACAGCCCTTGTCCTGCACACAGATCTGGGGGGCACTGCCCCCCCATGCTTGCCCAGGAGTGCACACAGTGGCAGGAGTCACCCTCCCATTGTCCCCTCACCCCCACAAACAAACTGCTCATAGCTCTGTTCCATACCCTGCCCCGGCTGGGTAGCCTGTTGATGCCCCTTCACTTCGGTGCCTGGGGCAGTTGCCCCACTTGTCCCCCCTTGCTACAGCACTGGTGAACACCATTACAACCATTTCACGTAAGAGGAAGCAGAGGCAAAGAGAGGATAAGTGACATGGCCAAGATTTCACAGAAAGTCAGTGGCAGCAGGGACTAAACCAAAGTTCTCCCGGAAGTCCTTTTCTCTACCCATGAGACAGCACTGTCTTTGATTGCTTCAGTAATCAGTAACATAACTAAAGAGGATGTGGGTAGAGGGTGACTGAGGCAATAACCCCAGCTGCCCACCAAGGGGGGAAATGCAAAAATAGCAGCCACTGCAATTGCTGGCTGACTATATCACTGTCAACAGCAGCCCAATAGCTGCCACTGCCCTGTGCACCACTGCTGCCCAGGGCTCAGAGCTGCCTGGTTATACTTCTGTCTGTAATCTAAGCTGCATGTGGAAACCTGTGCGTCCAACTCACTCCACAAAAATCACTGAGAAAAAGGCAACTTAACAAAGTAAAATCTGTCTCCACCCCTGTTTCACAAGAAGGAAGACTTGTTCATTTTCTATATAGTATAGCAACTAGCAAATCCTCATGCAGTAGGCAAGACTAAGGCCACATTTATCTTGGAAACTGCAAACAGCAGCCCTACTGTGTCCAGGCATTTCTGCCAAGACAGCAGACCCCAAACTGGCCTATCTGGAACAAACAAAAGGCCAAAGAACAACTAAGCCTTATGTAACCAATGCACTTTAATAAGGAAAGCAATGGCATAGCCCCATTACTGAAGCCATGGGCTGCCTCCTCCAGGATCTCTTCTTGAGTTTATTTCCTTCCTCTGCTGGCTCACGTCTTATTTAGACCCTGATCCTATATATTGCTAAGCCCCTTCTGGGATTTAATGAGCAACTTTGTCTTCTGTTGACTTAGAGGGTAGTTGAAGGCACTCAGCACACTCCAGGAGGTGTTCATTATTTTACAAGATTCAATCCTGATCCTGCAAATGTCTGTTCCCATGCTTAACCTTATGTCCCAGAAGTCAGAAGCCTGACTCATGAATGCAAAAGTAAGTGCAGAGAGTAATGTTTTTGAGATATGGACCTTGGCCAGAAAGCTCTTAGGAGAAGAGACACTGCACGCAGTGGGAGACAGTGCCATGTGGAGATCTGAGCTAGTTCTGCATGCATTAGCTCCCAAACTAGAAGCAGCACAGTGGCATTCACTGTTTTCTCAGCAAGTCTAATTAGCCCAGGTACAATGCTATGCAAACACTGAGACACTACTGTCCTTGTAGAGTGCCTACAGAGTGAGCTTGGGTATTTCCGTGTGGTACTGTCTAACACCATGTCAACATACCCTGAGAAGAAAATACTTCAGTACATTCCTGTGAAAAGGGTTACTGTGGATTTACTCTATTACAATTCAGATCCAAATCTGGTCCACTGTCTGCAGACTTCTATGCACTTTTTTGACACTATATAACAAGTAAGAATGATCTTGTCAGATTGAACCTGGAGAGATTCCAGTGCCTTTGGTGGAGTAACTTCAGACGACATACTTCAAATTGCTATAACTGAGAAGAGGGCATGTGGGAACGCTATAGGTAACACCTGTTGTGATCCACAGATCATTTCCCTGATGTAAATAGGATCTCTGTTTTTAAGCTTGGCAAAAATAAAACAAGCAAAAGTCATTTTTAGAAAAAAAGAATACATGTCTTTTCTTGATGCAAAGCTGTAGGGCCAAATCCTACTGCAAATCAAGAGAGCAGTGTGGTGCTCAAGGTTGTTATTTACACCAGTTTGTACCAGCAGATGAGGAGGGCCTAATGCATGGCATTTTCAGAATCTCCCATTATCTTTCTCTTTCCCTTCACCTAGGAGAAGATTTTCCCTGCAGGATGTAAATCTTAATTAGAAAATCTTTCCCATTAATTGCAAAAAAAAAAGCAGTTAGTTAATAGAAGCAAGCAAAACATGCTTACCTATTTTTGCTACCCTAGCAGATGCTGTAGCTCTTCTCCTCTGGGAATTACTGTGTTCACTCCAGCACAGTGGGGAAGATGCTTCTTTCCTGACCCTGCATCTTGCTGGGCTGAATTCCCTCTGCACTCATGCTTCTTTGTCTTCATGGGAATCTTTTTACATTAAATGGAGGGGCCTGGCAGGGAATACCAGTCAATCTATTTTCAGCCCCACACAGCCTGCAACAGACGCTGATCTTACCAGCAGAAACTGTAACCTGAAAAGCGAGGCACAAAAAAAAGAGAGATTGCAACACTTTTGGTAGGAAGGGAATGCAAAACTTACCTCAAAGCTATGTACATTAGCTTCCAAGAACAAAATCAAATAATTAATCTGCCCTGTCTTTGTTTTCTACAAAATATTCCTTTGGGAAACTAGCCAGGCCACTGATGGTCACAAACCGGGCACCAGGTACCCTCTTCAGCAGAAAGGCTCAGAAACAATCAGAGGTCTTTTCAATCGCAAAGGGTTTTTGGGGGGTTTTTTCAGCTGGGATAATCAAGTTGTCCCTCTTTTTTAATTCAAACTTTCTGATTCCCCAAATATCAGGATCTGGCATCCAACTGATTTCAGAATTACAGGCCTTTTACCCTGCCCAGCCCCTTGACTGACAATCCTCAGGACACCCTTTTCATAACCCCTCCTCCCCTCTTACCATTTGCAGTAGCATATGCAAGTGCCTCCCCTTTTCCTGTATGCATTGTCTGTTGCCATCAAACATCTGTAATGTCTGTCAGTCTTGACTGCATACAGAGCAGAAGCAGGAGGTGTTTGGGGATGGGAGCACACCTTCTTTGGTAAGCAAAAGAAACCACTTCTCCAAACAGTTGTAATAATGGGGCATTTGTGTCTGGGAAGTTGGAATATTTAGCCAGTGTTTTGCTTGTAGCCAAAGTCACAAGGTACAGAGAAATAGTCTGGGAGGTTGTTATGGAAACAAATCCCTGGAGATGCCGACTTTCCACAAATGCTTCACAAAGATGTGCTCTGACTTAAGAAGGGAAAACAGCAAGACAAATCAGCAACTTTTTCTCTCAGATATTTGAATTGGTGTGCTTGAAGTTAGGACCTTACAACAGAACTTTCCAAAACACCTACGTGACTGGAAGCCTAAGTCTTGGCAAAAGTCTACAGGACTTTATGCTTCTAAACTACTTAGACGCTTTTAAAATCCTGCTTCTAAATCCCCTAGACACCTAAATGGCTTAATAATCCAAAGATGCTCCATATGAAAACATCACTAAAGTCAATGGGAATGACAGGTGTTCGTCACACCTGTATATCAGACTGCCTTTATTTAAGTATCTGAATTTAGGCATTCCTATAGCATATTTAGTTCTCTCTTCCATGTTTGCATGTCTCTACTAGGACAAGGAAAATCCACAAAGTCCACTTCACTATTAAGTTCTGAAAAGACTGTGTTGTATCTGCAGAAACTTCAGATTTTTTGCAATGCTTGCTTTTCTTAATCTGTGTGGGTTTTTTTTAAATGTGTAAAGATATTTCTATTAGCTATAAAAGCTACTCATGTCACAAACACCATGCATACCAATTTACAACCAATTAGGAGCATTCCTCTAAATAAAATAAATTTCCAGAAAACTAGAGAAAGCTTTATAGGAGACACTGGAGTTCAGTTATTGGTTATCAGCTGTTTCATCTCTTATTCTTTTTCATCTAAATGCCCAGTCACATAACCATGCAGGTTTGCAGAACAATCCACCCTTAAAAACTAAGTTTTCTGCCAGGCAGCAGTGAGGAAGTCCAAACCAAGGAAGAAACAGACTGAAGAGTTTTGCTTCTGTCTTTGAGTCAGCATGTTGTGTCCCTTTCTCCTCAGCTCTGGTTTAGCCTGAGTTTTTTATATCTCAGTTTCAGGAAACTTTTAATTGCTACCCCGAACATGGGCATTCTACTGAGAGAGAGAGAGAGAGAGAGAATGAACACCTCTGCTACCTTTCACTGCTTCTCCAAAAGAGCCGGCTCATCCACCAAAATACCGTGCACCTGCTAGAACTACACAGAGGTTCAAGCAAAAATAGTCTCTTCCATATAAAAAAAAAGAATTAATCTTATTAAAGTCTTTCTGAAATACAATCTCATAATATAATAGCTATTTACTAGACTCTCTTAACAGATCAGCGTAACAGCTTGTATTTAGTCACTTGAAAGTCCCACCTTGCAAATCGTTTTTAAGTCCTATTAATTTTCATTGGGATGACATGCTGATGCTGCTCGCTTTAATAGTTGATAAAAAGAGGCCTTTAGTCTTTAACTACACTATTAGTTGTTTTCACTGACAATCTACCAGTGGCTCTCAATCTTTTCAAATTAAGGCACCCCTCATTAGACTCAAGGCACCCCCTGGAAAATGCCAGCTCTTAGTGTTCCCTCATTTTTTGACTATAGAAACATAACAGAGAAATTCTTTTGTTGCAAAGAACTCAAAAAGACCACAATAAGTCTGAATGTTTTTGACACTATGGATTTCTGTTTGGAATCCCTGGGTTTATCTTGTGAATCATGGCTGTAGCACCCTGCACACCCTTGAAAGGCTCTCAAAGCACCATGAACCCCTATGCTCAACCCCCAATGGCCGTCCAGCCCAACCCAAGAAGCAATGCTGCACTCCTGGTTGCCTCCTCATCCACACTTCCCTTTAGTGTTTGGAATTCCACAGGGAAGGGGGAGAGGAAATAAGGCCACAAGCACAGGAAGTCTACCAGCAGCAATCCCACAATTCCTTCTTCATGACTTCTGGCCCTTATGTACCCAATTTCCTCTATGACCCCCAATTAAAATCAAATACATATGAACAGATAAGCAGCTTGAGGACCAATTCATAGAAGGGCTCTGCTCATGGGACAAGAAACAAAATGTGAACAGCTTTGAATGTGGGCTGCATGACAAAATACAGATAGGGAGGGACCAGCTGAGGGCAGCCCCTGGAGTTGACCCTAAGTATCAGTAGAGCCCATCCTTCACTCCTTGTTCAGGAAAAACTATCACCGTTTGAGTGGGAGATGAGAATGGCAACATCTAGGGTCAGGTTTAAGGGTTTGTTTCTGCATCAAAAAAGACAATGGGACTTTTCCTATTGACTTCAGTGGGGAAAGGTTTTATGTCTAATGCCGTGGTCCTTCATTTGCACCTGTGCAAAGAGATCCCTGCATCCTCCCAGAACCCCTATGAAGTCCTTGGGGAGCTCTGGGAGAGAGTCAGGTGGAGTTTGCACAGGGGTAGGTTCTTGGTGTGGGACAAGGGTCTATGTGAGCAAAGGTCTCAATAAAGAATTAATTCAAGGTACAGAGCAAGATCTCAAAACAACAAGAAATCAACAGGGACCCAAAGGTGCACATGAATCTTGCCTGACAACCCACATAGTTCTGACTAACTTAAAGCATGAAATAGATGTTCTTTAGCCCTGCTTTATGGTTGGCACACACACTACATAGAATATGCAGAAAATGTATAATTGCATCACTATATTCCATTATGCATGTTGTTTTATGTATTACATGTGTTACATGCAATATATAATACATTCTGAAATCTGGAAATGCAAATCCTTTGTGTATTGACAAAGCAATACATCAGACCAAGATGTGCCTTTGGCATCACTGACTAAAGTTGTTCTCACAAAAACCTGGAGCATGTGAATAGGTGTGTCTTCACTTTCCATCTAAACTATTTGTTTTGAGCATTTATTAGAAAACAGGAATTTCAACTCAACATGAAGCTTTTTCCTCAATTGAGAGATCACTATTCTGCTCTTAGGATTTATTCAGATGAATTAGGGAAAATCTGAACTGGTGCCAATGCAAATCCCTAACACCTATGCCCCCAGTTAATAGTACACTAATACAAATCACTAGTACAATTCCTGATTTGCACCAGGGCAGTGTATTTACAATAGGGATTTTCAGCAGTATAACCAAATCACTGAGCAGTTCCCTACTTTATACAAGTCCTGGCAAACCCCACTGAAGTCAATTGTTCCCAGGGTGTCCCAGTACAGACCTGGGCACTTGCCACATAAAGCACGTTACTTTTAAACATTGTTATTTGATACATTCATGGTAAAATGAATCATTTCAAACATGCCTTGCATAGGAAGGCACTTACTGTGAAAATTTAATTGCTATAATAAATACTAAGTAACACCCAATGTAAACAAAGATATGTTCAAACAAGCTAAAACAAAAAAATTAAGACAGTCTCTACCAAGCCCATTGACTTTAAACACAAAAGGCCTGTTTTTGAACACATCAGCTGTGGCAAATTTGGGACAATAATCCTCACAACCGGTTAAGAAACTAAAGTGCTCCTGGATCTGTGCATCTATAAGCAAACAGAGCAAAAGGTGTCAGGGGAAGACATCTGTTTGCTTAATTTCCCTATAAGCTGCAGAACACACTGTGATGCTTGGATACAGCCTCTCCATTATGCACAGGCTATGGTATGGCAGGCGTGACCGATCCCAGCGCCAAGGGCACAGTGCTGGAACAGGAGCTCTGGACACAGCTTGAGCCAGATGTTTGCAGCCCTCTTAACTATTCCTTGCCTGGCTTTCTAGCTGCAAACATAGCTGTGGCTTCTCTTGTGCAAGGGAGAAATATTAGTCTTCAATGCTATTACTGGCCGAAAGCACGCTCTCCTGCCATAAAATGGAAGGGTAAGGGGACAAGAAAGAGCACCCCACAAAGTAAAGCAAGGACATCTGACTGCACAAGCTAACGAGGCATGGCAAGTCAGGACAAGAGTGCCCCAGTTACAATCACTGTGCTTTCAAGATCACGGTTCACAATCTGATGTGCTGTCCTGACCGTATTCAGCTGCATGTGCAGAACAGGCAGCACAACAGGATCCTGGATATAGGGATAAGGGCTATGAAAAGGAAGAGTCTTAATCCACACCCCAAAAGAGAAGATTGTCACACTTCTGTCAGCATTTTCTTCTCTTTGTAGCCCTGGCTGTTGGTTGCAATGAAGTTGGGATATTTCATGGACTCCAAATCTTCTGCCTCCAGAAATTCCGATTTGCTGAGGGACGAAGTACTATCTCCCTTCTTGGGCTCAGAGAAGGGAGATTGCTGCTGGCCACAGGTGACATGGGTGTACTGGCTCTGCTCCTCCTGGTCAGTCTCTCGGTGGTAGAAGTAATTGAAGTTGGACACGATGACAGGCACGGGCAGGGCTATGGTCAGCACGCCAGCAATGGCACACAAAGAGCCCACGATCTTGCCCCCAATCGTCAGAGGGTACATGTCCCCGTAGCCCACGGTGGTCATGGACACCACCGCCCACCAGAACGCATCCGGGATGCTGGTAAACAAGGAGTCAGGGTCGTCAGTCTCTGCAAAGTACACGGCGCTGGAGAAGAGGATGACTCCGATGAAGAGGAAGAAGATGAGGAGCCCCAGCTCCCTCATGCTGGCCTGGAGGGTCTTTCGCAAGATCTGCAGCCCCTTGGAGTGCCGGGAGAGCTTGAAGATCCGGAAGACCCGGACCAGGCGGATGACGCGGAGGATGGCCAGTGACATGGCTTGCTGCTGGCCCCCATTATTCCCACTGCCGCCAGCCCCAGGCTGCTGCTGCTGCTGCTGCTGCTGCCTCTGCTTCTGCTGCTGCTGTGCCAGCTCGGTGCCCAGCGTGATGAAGTAGGGGATGATGGCCACGATGTCGATGATGTTCATGATGTTCCTGGAGAACTCGGGCTTGCTGGGGCAGGCAAAGAAGCGCACCAATAGCTCGAAGGAGAACCAGATGATGCACAGTGTCTCGATGAGGAAGAAGGGGTCGGTGAAGAAGGGCCCAGCGGTGGCCCCTGGGGGCAGCGACGGCCCCGGGGTGCCATCGGGCCCCGGCAAGAGGAGCAGGGGGTCCTCAACCAGTGCAGCCTCCCCGAAGCCGGTCGGGGGGGCGGCCTTGCTGTCCTGGCGGAACTCGGGCAGGGTCTCCAGGCAGAAGATGACGATGGAGATGAGGATGACCAGCACGGAGACGATGGCGATGGCGCGGGCCGGCCCCGAGCTCTCGGGGTACTCGAAGAGGAGCCAGACCTGGCGCTGGAAGTGGTGGCGCGGCAGGGGCTTCTCCTCCTCCTGGATGAAGCCCTCATCCTGGCGGAAGCTCTCGATGGCCTCCTGGCCCAGCTGGTAGAAGCGGATCTCCTCCAGGAAGACGTCGAGGGGCACCTGCACGGGCCGGCGCAGCCGCCCGCCGGACTGGTAGTAGTAGAGGATGGCGTCGAAGCTGGGCCGGTTGCGGTCGAAGAAGTACTCGTTG